GTGAGTTTCCTTGTCTGGACTGGCAATGAGGCAGTCGTCTAAGTTTGCGTATACGAAGTTGAGACAGCGAAATGCTCCGTCAATGAAGCGTTGGAATGTTTGTGCTGCATTCCGGAGACCGAATGGCATACATACAAATTTGAAAAGCCCGAAAGGCTTAATGATAGCCGTTTTCGGAATATCTTCTGGTGCCATCGGGATTTGGTTCTACGCTTTAACCAAGTCGATTTCAGAGAATATAGTTGCGCCAGATAATATTGCCGTCAAGTCGTGTTTGTGAGGTAGTGGATAGCAATCAGGGGTTGTTTTGGCGTTCACTCGCCGGTAATCACCAGTGGGTCGCCAACCATTGCTATCCTTTTTCGGTACCATATGCAATGGGGATGCCCATGGACTATTCGATGGCCGAATGATGCCTATACTGAGCATATGGTCGAACTCATTTCTAGCGAGTCTCAGTTTGTCAGGAGCAAGTCGTCGTACTTTAGACGTCACAGGTTGTCCTGGGGTTATGATGTAGTGCCTAACATTGCTGGTTATGCACGGTAGATCGTTAGACGGGCAATTAAGTTCCAGTTATTTATCAACAATCGGTTGGAAATTTGAATCAAGGATTGCCTTCATCTTAACGAGTAACAAGCTGTGACCCACGGAGGTGATGTCTTTGATAGACATTCTACCTGTACCGTCTATCAGTCGTTTTCGGTGGACGTCTACGAGTAAATCATGATGATTAAGTAGGTCCGTGCCAATGATGGGTATTGTGATGTCAGCGAGAAGGAAAATCCACTGAATAGATTTGTGTAAACCTACGTTCAGATAGACGTTATTCCTACCAAATGTTGCAATTGGTTTTCCATTCGCAGACTGTAAGTTGAACATAGGTTCCTTCTGTCGATCTGCTGCTGTAGCAGGAAGGACGCTGACTTCGGCGCCTGTGTCGACTAAGTATCACGAATGTAAAGTAGGCGGTTAGTGGGACCAATGACAGTTGCCGCCAACGAGGGCCAGCGTGATATTTTTCCTCAGTCTTTGAGACATTGCCGAAATTAAATGGTTTTCGACATTTCGCTTCCTGGTCATAGGTGTTGTGATACCAACACCAGTCATGGTTTTTAGTGAACGTGGCTTGGATTTAGATCGACCACGTGAGTTTCACCGTTGAGGGGATTTCGGACTACGGTAGGAGGAATTACAAGGTATGTTTGACCTGAGCAGCTGCTGGATGGAACTGCATAGCTCTATCACTGCAGTGTCCCTACTCGAAGTCTGTTTGGTAACTGAGCATATTTCAGTGACTGGCCGTTTAGTTATTTCTAGAATTTTACCTCCAGAAATAGCTACGTCGTCTAAAATAACACCCTAAAATGTCACAAGTACAGTCTGTAATGACTGTGGCAGTTTGGATAACAAAAGTTCTCTGAAAAGTCCTTCATCAAACTAACGCTGGCCAATAATCTCTCTCATGCTTCTAAGCATGCTCACGGTTGACTGATCCCCTAACTCGGTGTTACGAAATAATCTATCCAGACGCTGTCGATCAGTGTGAACGGCTCCGCTGAGGAAGGTTGCTTTAAGCAACTCGTATGAGTCACTTACCTCTGGGCTTGACATCTGCACAATTAAGCACTTGCTGAATTCCCGTGGTAGGGCGTGAACAACTGCAAGGAACTGTGAACGTTGATCTGTTATCCCATGTTTGCTGGAATCAGACTCAGCTATCTGAAATCATGATTCAGCATTATCTGGCCAATATGGTACTAGCTGAATGGTTATGGAAGTTTAGCGAATACGAATGACCTTAGGAGTATGATCACTCACTAATGGCGAAATATATATAGTTTAAAAATACTACAACAACAAATACAAAATGGAATGAACCCACCGGATTAGTCTGTGTATTTACCAAAGATTAATTTCGCGGTTGGACTCACCAGTTTAGCGTCTGACGGTATTGATGTTCGTGGACTGTACAGAGTAAACTAACGCAAGATCTAATACCCACAACTTCTATAGTATCTGTTCGGCAAAACACCCCAACTGATCGTCCAAATTACGAGATATATTTTGGGACCAAATCGGAGTGCGAGATGAGTGCTTATCTGGCTAGTGATCGAGCACGAACGTGACACGTTGGAGTATTAAGTGGCGTGGATGCTTGACTGGAAGCCTTCAGCTAAACAAATTGACCTAAACAGTGAGGGTCAGCATCCAATGTTCAGTGTTGAGTGCTGTGGTCTATAATTTTGGGAATTATTGACCGCTACAGGACCATGGTCCAGAAGGAGTGCGTTGGTGTGGTAGCTTATGGCACTAGGAGTCATAATACTGCACATGTTGATAACTTGTAGACACCCAGGGCTTTCTGCCATTTGTTGCACAGACAACTAAATAGCAGACACCCCACTGTGAAGCCTGGTATCTTGGAGACTATCCTACTCCAAATTAATGCACCAACGGTTTTTGACGAATTGGCAGAAATTTGTCCAGAAAAAACCCCGATAGCAATGACACAAGGCCATCCATTTTCAAAGTCTTTTGTGACTATCTGCACTGTAAACAACAGCCTCTTCCAACAGTTGTCGAATAAGCACCAGCTGACAAAGAATTGGAGGCCTGCTGTTCTATCAGGCACTTTAAAGGGGACAGAAATGTTGATCCCCAAGTTCCACAGGTATATAGTGCTGCCACCATTAACACTGAAGATGACAGAAAACTTGTTGACGACCGCATCACAGAGCTTCCTAATGGAAACATCTTGCGTAAATTTGAAGCAATCATTCGAATGAAAGTTACTAGTGACTCAGGACAACATGCTGGAATAAGAAAATCCAGGTCGTATGACCAAGATGCATAATTCTGCGTCACTTACGAATATCTTCCAGAAGGTCTTCGAAATCGGGATCAGTAGTTCACTGCCATTGCGGCTTCGAGAGTGTTCGAGCACAAGAAGTGTTGTACGAATGTAGTCCGAGTATATTCTACACAGGGAGCAATGCATTGAATTGTAAGCTGCTCCACTAAGGCTACTGTTATTTGAGACTTTAGCCAGTGGCTTAGCGTGAACACAAGCTACCTTGTCACTATCCGCGGTGGTCATTTAAAGATTCGGATGCCTGTAGCAAACGATGAAGATAAGCTGAGTTTTCAGGATGATCCAATCACCCTAAACGGCTGACCAGTCATAAATGGGCTGAATTTTGAAGACTACCTCTAACACAGATACATTGCGACTGAAGTCGCTGTATATTTTAATGGACCATTAAGGCATGTGTAGAGGAGACTCAGTATCAACAGCTCAACTTTCAGGTTTAGACAGTTTGTATGATGGATTCCAACAGAGAAGGTGGAGTTATCTTTTTGAGCAGAAGACGGTCTCGCGAAAAGGACATAGGATAACGCTGGATATTAGTAATTTATTCTGCACACTTTCACGAAACGACATTTTACAATGGATACCTAATTCAATTTACACTAAAAGTTGTAGACATAATCGTGAAGCTGTATAGTGTTGCGCTCTCGCAAAACGCTGGCACGTACATTGATAAACGGATTTCATGCCCTGGATCCAGAGGACAGATGTTCAGTTATAGGAGAGAAGTTGAAGCTTGAGGCAGGGTGGTGCAATTATATACAAGGGCACTGATAGCAACGCATTATTTTAACGCAGGGATGTCATACCAGTTACCTTCATTAGAACAGGGTAGATGTCTAAGTCTAACACTTGATTTTATTTCGCTGCAGATGTTTAGCATCTGTCTTTGCAGGTCATTCAGAATGAGAAGCCATCTTACAATAGTCCTGTGTTACGGAAACGACTGGTTCTTATGCCTTCCGGTCAGACTTCTGATCAGCGATCGCTATCCCATGTGAGCAAGAATCTTGGCGTACTTTCACCCAAACCGTTGATCTCACCTCAAAGCTGAGGCCATTGTTGAATCTTTACTCCTAAGGAGAAATGCCCCTTTTCAGAGAAAATTTCAGTGAGAGAGAAAGTACTCGTCACCAGCAAAAACGTTGGCAACTGGCATCAGAGACCAAGTCGATAAATTCTCAGTTACTGTGGAATCATAGCAGGCGACACAATTCTGAACAATTTAAGTCACACAAATAGAAATATAACATATATCCAATTATGATTGCTAATAAAAAGGTAATAAAAAAGTGAGACCCAGCTCTTTTCAGTATATAATGCATTCTTAAGAAATCCACTCTCAACTAATATGGTCACTCTCCGTCAGTAGCCTGCCATAAGGGAAGGGTAGACCACTAATTAGAGTCCAACGGCTTGCGCGTCTATACAGAAGTAGCAGACAGTAAGTCGGTACAGTAATCCCATTGGAACACATAAACTTCTGTGTTTTCAAGACGCTTTTTCGGCTTTCCTTTTTTACAGCACTGAAAATGAGAACAATGACTGGACTTCTGGTATGTTACCGTTTCACCTATTACTACTTAGATAACTCCAGCCAGAAACGGATGATGTACAAAGCTAGAACAGCAACTTGACCGTCCAAAATACGAAGTTCCTGTCTCGATCGGTGTTATAAAGGCGGGATTCGGGATTAACTAGATAGATCTCAGGCAGATACAATTAAACGTGATATGATCTCAAATGATGAGCAGTTTGTGTGTGAGTTTTTGTCTCTGACGCAAACACAAACAAACTCTCAATCAGGAACAACTGTTAGTAATGCAACAAATTGTTGAATTGCGTAGGTGCTTAACTACATACAATCAGCCTAATCAGTAAAGGTTGATACCTGGTGAAGGTTGATGATGAAGGCTATACGCTAATTAGTTTAAGGAATTATATACCGTCACATCACGTAATTAAGAAAAGAAGTATTACAACTCATTGAGTCTACTCGTGTTTTGCAAAGGAAGTAAAATGGAGACTTATGCGAGTGCACTATAATAATATTTTCCGAAATCATATATTTTTCAACCTCTTTATTTGTTTGTATTACCTGCTGAAATTACGTGACCTTGCCTAAAACGCGCAGCCTGATACAAAATCATGGTAACAAAATGGAATTTGGTGGTAGTTTAGAAAGTTTCATCAGGCATGAGGTAACAGTAATCGGTGGGAATGAATCGCCCAATAAACTGTATTTCGGGAGGAATGAGTAAGACAAGTTGATTAGATAATCGAAACTATGTTAAAGGTCGGGAGTGCCTGTCAAAGATATCGTTACACTTCTTGACATATTAGGACAACTTTCTGCAAAAGTAAAGCCAAGTTGAAATTTATATTTAAAGGCTCAAAGGCTGCCTGGACCCGTGACTTCCTATCAAAAGTTCCGTACCTCAAATCATAGGATATTCCTATTATCCAATATTCCTAAAAAGATGTGCGTTTAATTCATTACTAATTCCGGTAAAAGTGTTTTAGGTTTCCTTAAGATCGGCAAGAAAAAGCTTTTTGTACATGACAGAAAAGGGGCATGTATTGAGTGCGTGCCTTTATGCGTTTTGGATTTTTACATACACGAATCATATCAACGACAAGGATGTGGCAAAAAGCTGTTCGACTTTATGCTGCAGGTAATTGTTTGAGTAGGTAATTTTTATACGAAAACTCTATTGTTTTCGCAACTTATATCAGGCATTTGTGCACTTAACACCTGATCGATCACTTACCCAACTAGCACTAACTTTGGTTGCACTAGCTTCTCAAGACTCACAACTTTAAAAAAACTGTTTTCAAAATGCATAAGTAGGTTTACATAACTATATGCAACTCGCAAAACGCCTGAAATTTTGTATGGGGTGATGTACTTCATGTTACCTCATCCGAGTAGGTGGCTGAAAATATCAGATTGAAATAGACGAAACTGTCACTCGTTGTTCGAAGTATTTTGAACTGGCTATCTAGCACTCCTAGTTGTCTTGAGTGCTTCTTCACTATTGATATCTGTCAGTAGTCTGTTATAGTTTATGACATGGAGGTTTGAGCTAATTGAAAAAGAAATTTCACCAGGGAAATTTCTAAAATACACATTTCAGTGTATTTAGTATTCTTTAAATCATGGAAAATCCCCATTGTAACATATAGAAAATCAAAAATAAATGATTCAGCAAAGAAACTCTTTTCAACGAACTTATCATCAAGCTGTACAATCGTATATATATGGTTTTTAAGAAGTTATAGCCGGTGAGGGAATTGAAACATAGGTGTGAATGCATAAAATAATAATAATAGTATGAAATGCAATTAAAACTAAAATGTTTGTGATTATAATCATAGGTAAATATCAGGTGGCAAAACAATTAATGTTATATATAGAATAATTCATAGGATGGATAGAACTTGAAAAAGGGTGTGCAATTATAAGACTAGTAGACAGATCGAATAAAATAGAAACATTACGTAATATTGTATGAAATTTGATAACATAGAATTTAACGTTGTAAAAAGAAGAATTGATTTAGAATGACAAGTGGAACAAGTGAAATAATACCGGGGACAGTTCAAAGTGAGAGTAGTAAGAGTAACAATTGACGTAATAAAGGAAGAGTATACAAATTGAATAGACAAAATGAAAAAAATTGGTGGAGCCAAAATATGATTAGGGATTACCATACTTTAGCATAGAGGGATTAAGACAATTAAAGTTGAAGGGGTTGAACGAACTTTTTCTGTACACAGAGATCTGGCTTTTCTCTTTCGATAGCCAAAGCTTCAGCAATACACAGATGAGTCGGGTACGTAGGGATTTGGGTAAATTACGTTTTGTCTTGTAGATGACTTTAAAGGCGGAGGCTGTAGAGATAGGGTGATCATTATCGACCAGATTGCACAGCTTAATGATAAATTCGTTGAAAAGAGTCTCTTCGCTGAATCATTTGTTTTTGATTTTCTATATTTACCATTCAACAATTTTTTGGTAAAAATGAACACGAATCTAACATTTAAGTTGCTTATTTGATTTTGGAGTTATTCAGCGTATATGTTTGTTCTCAGATGAATGGCAGTTGTGTTCTCTAGGTAAACAAACCTTATTCTTATTCCCCAGTGAGATTTGGTTCTTTGTTTGAAAGCTCCTGTCTCTTAATGAAAACTATGATTTGTAATACATTTACTATAAGGAAAGCTTTTCACGTAACTAAGCATATGTTTTAGAAGGTCTTGGAGTAAAACGAGGTATTACAGTTACAATACGTGAACAAAATCAGAACAAAGGTATTTCGTGGATGGAGACAGAACATTTTATTTCGCAACTTTTCTTCAGTTGCTAAAAGTTACACAATTTATAATTAATTAAGAATAAGTATGTAACATTATCATTTTTGTTCCCCTGAGTTCTTACTGGAACATAGGGCTTCAAAAACATGCCAGTTCATTCAGTCCTCTGGAATCCTTTTTAGCTGGCCCCACAATTGCCCATAAACTTTCATCTCCTCCATTCACCCTCTGGCGCCAATTTGTTCGTTTCCAATTCATGTCCGACTCGAGTGATATCACTTATCGGCCTCCTCATCATAGGTCCAATCCGCCTTCATTTCCTTTGGCTAATCTCTTGAGCAATAGCCTCTTGGTTGGTTCGTTGCTTTGCAGAGTTCCTTGTTGTTTATTCTTTCTAGCTGGGTATCTGATCTTCAGTGTAGAGCGAAGTGGGTAGCTGATGGTCGGTGTTTAAAGCCTTATCTTGTAGTGTATTGGAAATTATTGATTGTCATCATAAATGCCACTAATCATTTTTCACTGTCCAGTTTACTAGGGAATGTAGTTAAACAAATTCGCTGTTGTTTCAGTAACTCTAGTCCCCTTCAATAGGTTTCGGGTTTGAATCCTGCTTCAGCCACTTCAGTTTGAGCAATTACTTAGTACTACCAACCCACACACAGAGTAGTTATGCAGTACAGTCCGGTACATGGGGAATTTGTTTACGTTAACTGCGTTGCAACTATATATTATTAATGTGCAGAACTTTCAGCGGAATTGATTGCATGATATTTTCTCTTCATTCAGGATTTTCAAAGAGAAGGTTAATTGACAGTAGATCGTGTGAGACAGTTCTATCTGAACTACAGTGCAAACCAGTCCATTATGACATCTCTTCTTTGTCTCCTTCGAGAAATACATGACATTTGGTCGAATGCCAACTATAGAAATTTCTGAAGTGCACTATGTGAACCATGGACATCACTCAGGAACGGTCATCTCATGTATTGAGATAGGCTGCCATGTATAGTAGAAACTTACGAATCAGCAGGTTGTAAATGTTTTCAATATCCAATATCGTTTTTACGAGCTAGTATAAACCAATTTGATTTATTTGTGCTCGCCTCTTGATTGTGAGGTATAGGTTCCTGATCTTCGGCAAACTTCTGCGTAGTTCGTCCAGACACTCCAAAAGGATTAGCGCCGGGATTAATTATATGTGGTTTGTAGTATGAGGTGTGTTAAGACTGTTACTACTGTGAATGGAGTTGATCCTTTCACCAGTTAGTACTCCGGTATCGTCGTCAAAAGAAAAGAGATGATAATAATAGATATAATTAGTGAAGTTATTGAAACTAACATACAGAAAAAGAAATAAGAAAACGTAACAGCAGTCTGCTGATTAAATTTGAAGAATAATATGAATTATATATATATATATACCGATAATAATGACAATAATAATAATAGGTGCAGTTAAAGCTGTCAGGAAAGTAAGACGGGAGAGAATGTAAAGAAGTAAAACGACAAGTTTAATTGTCTACCCTTGAATGGTGTATGCGCTTTTAAGGGGATAGGCCATTTGGATGCAGTCCTTGTGTCGCTGCATGGTTGTTCAGCCTTCGCTTAAAGGCGTCCACAGACGGTGCCACAGCTACATCTGCCGGTAAGGAATTCCAGGGACGGCAAACCCGCAGGGAAAAGAAGTGGGAGTGCACCCGGGTCCTTGCCCTCTGATGAGCTATCCTTCTGGGATTTCCACGGGGAAGCCTATACCTAATCAACGGCAAAACACCTTTGTTTGGGTGATTCTGGTTATTTTTTATCTTATAGGCAGTAATCAAATCCTCCCTAAGCCGACGGTACCTAAGTGTTAATAGGCCTAATTTCTTCAGCCTTTCATCATATGGTTTATTTCGGAGACCAACCACTCCATTTGTTGCCCGTCGTTTGAGTCTTCCCAATAGGTTGGCGTCTCTTCTAAGCAGTGGGGGTGCAGTAATATTATGCACTTCAAGGTGTGGCCTGACGTATCTTTTGTACAACCTTAGAAAGAGCTCAGGAGTGAGTGGACCTAACTGTCTATGAGTAAAGTGTATGACCGCATATGCCCTTGCTACGTCCCCCGTGTAATTTACGCTTGTGTCCATTTTCTCCGTTAGAACTAGACCTAAGTCGCGTATCGACGTTTTGCAGGACAAGCTTTCATTGCACAGGGTGTAACTTGCATTCTGCAGTCTACAGGTGCGTAACTTCACTACTTTGCACTTTTTCAGGTTGAAAGTCATGCCACTGGTTACCGCCCAGTCTTCCAGAAGCCTTAGTTCAAGTTTTAAGCTGGCCGGCAAGGATGTCGTTGGAATCAGCTGTTCTAACTCTTTACACACTCTTATTTTACTCTTATCTGCTTTATTTTCTTTCATATTTTACAGACTGAAGGTATCAAACCATCCAGTTTAGCGATTGATCTACCCTCTAAGAAAATGATTCAATTTCTACACAAGCATTATCATTTAATTAATCCAATTTATTCACCAAATAATTTTGTAATTTATTCAGAATTTTTTAATGAAATTTTACGTGATTCAATGAATACAAGAAGACAGTCAGTCAATGTAAATTCTAAGCTGACACCAATTCGAATCTGGGATAGTAAAAATACACTTAACAGCAATAATAATAAGCATAATAACAAGTCAGATATTTCTTTAAATGACAACATTTTAAATTGTCACCGTCCTTCATCTAGTAAAACAAATCGTTGCGCTGACAGTTCAATGTCTATTGAACAAACACTATTGAATAGTAAGATAAACAACAAAGACAACAATAATGATGATTATGCTCAGAGTACAGAATTAAACAATCGACAAGTAAATCAACCGCACACTAAGATAAATGAAATGCCAACTCAGTTAACCATTATACGATCGAAGTGTTCAAATGATGAAAAGGATTGTAATCGATCTTTCAAACAAATTGAAGGCACTCAATTAAGTGAGGGGGATGACGGAAGAAAGTGTTTTGTTCAAAATGACATTGAAAAGACTAACAAATGTGATGTACAACAAAAAGTTATTCAGAATAATGTAAATAAGTAAGTGCTTTTTTTGTGTGTGTAATACTCAGTTAGTATTCGTTACAGGATTTCATCAGCTGACATTGGTTAGAGAACCATTGGAAAAACAGATGTTTCGTCCTAGTAGATTGGGACTCTTCATCAGCACGCACTCACTACAGGGATTTGAAGTCAGGACCTTACAATTACTGGGCGCTACTGGCACCAGCTAATGTCATCGCTGGCAAGTATTTGTCCTCATAGCCGACCTGATGTACCCTACCGGTCACGACTTCTCATTAGAACGAGTCGAGTGTGAGGCCAGATAGCTGCCAGTGATGACATTGGCTAGTGCTAGTCGCAGTATATCGTGAATTGGCAGAAGTTGAAATTGATAGGTTGGACACTGGATCAGGTCCCAGTGGCTTAATGGTCTACAAGCTCGCTAGCCTTGCAACCGAAAGGTTCTGGGTTGGAAGCCTGATGGCGGGTGCATACTGATGAAGAGTCCCAAACTGGTTTTCCAATAGTTCTGTAACTGGTTTCAGCTCATGATGAAATTCTGTAACCAATCAAATGGAATCACTGCAAGCCAACACTTGACTACCACTCAGTATTCATTCTTTTTTAGATTAAATTCACAATATACAAATTGATTTGCGATTAACAAACTGCGAATTTGATTCTTCAATGTATTATAGGTTCGAAATTTATAATTTACTCAGTTTGTTGTCTGTCTGGATTCAACATAGAACTTGGCACCAAAGTGCAGCAGTTCCAGTTGCCACGTTCCAAATAGCACACAAAGGTAGACAAGAAAATGAGTGGAGAGAATCAATAGAGTTTTGACAAGTATAAGAGTGAAACAGAGTGAGTAATGGTAGAAAGGAATATGAAAGATTAGAGAGACTGAATACATCTGCGTAAGCCATTGACAACGATTTTGAGCCATGTCACCTATTGTCTCCAGCCATTGATTCTTAGAGTCCCGAGGGCAGGCCCCAACCAGGAAGTCTGCATCTCCCTACCTGACTGAGTTTAACTGTCAAGGATTTCATGGATTGATGCCATGTTTTTGTTTGGCCACCACTTACTCTTTTTCAACTTGCACCTATATCACTTAGTAATGCCCATCGGGGGAGGTGATGGTTAGGCATGCGCAGCACGTGACCTAGCCATCTCAATCTATGTAACTTTATAGCCTCGTCGATTCATTTTTCCTCTTTGCCCAACACTCTACGCCTAACGTCTACATTACTTACCTTATTATACCACCTAACGTGAGAAAGAGATCGTAGACATCTATGATCGAAAACACTCAACTTTTTCATGTCTTCGACTCGTATTAGCCATGTTTCAGAGCCATAGAGAAGGACGAAGTGAACTGCTGAGTAGTACACACGTCCCTTGGTTGATAGCCGGATGTCACACCTACGCCATAGATGGCGTAAGTTAGCGAAAGCAGCTCGAGCTTTTTGGATCCCTCAGTTTGTGGTGAACTTTCACCACATCTACCTTTTGAAACTGAAATTATTCAGATGATAACATACGATCGGCTTGGTAGGACGCATGACAATCAAGGAATCAAGCATAGATATGTGGTGCTGTTTAATAACTGATTGATAGACATGAACGGTTGAACATTCCTCTCACATGAGCCAGTCCAGCTTGGTAAGCAGGCAGATTGAAGTGAATAAAAAACATTGAACGGCCGATTGGCTCGTTTGACGTTGAGCTCATCCGTGGTGTACATGTTTTAACTCACTCAGCTCACCGAGTTGAGGCAATTCAGACCACAGGAGTTATGGCTGCCTACTTTATCAAGAATAATAATAATGATAATTATAATATTTTGATTCATTTAAAACTATCCTTTATCAGTAAGATTATCTTAACTCACCTCACCACTATTATTATTATTATTATTATTATTATTATTATTATAACTATTACTATTGATATTGCTCTGTTTGCAATTCTTGTTATATTCTCTAATGGTTAATTGTTTATCTAAGTGATGTAATTGAAGCGTAATGCAATTTATCTTAATTTTGATCTCTCATACTCTCTCTCCCCTTATCTATTTGAACATGACCTTGAAAACACTCGCATCTGTCTTTCTGCGTGACTAATTCAACGTAGTTTGTTTACTTATCGGTTTTATATCTCCCAATGTAATTTCAATAGTATATATATCCGTGTATGTAGAGTATTCAGCTGACGAGTCCTACCGAAATTTGATGAATTCATTAAATTCTGCTTTATTAACCTTTATTTTTATTAACCTGGAAATATTTTCAAAACAAGCTACAACTATGAAAAAAGAAGCACCTAAAGAGTTCATAAATTTCGGTAGAAAGGCTCATCAACTGAATACTCCTCCATAGACATTGTTATTTATAAAATTCTCCTTTTAAGTTTCAATATACACAAACACATGAACATTGTGACAACAACAAATAAACATCAGTATGAACAAATATACGGTCTATAGGGTTTTGTGAGTGATAATCTGTTAATGTCACTATTAGTTGAGTAATATTCATCAAGGTGTTACATATGAACAAATAAAATGGTGCTATTGTGGTAGAATTAATACAGTTATAAACCAATGCCATCGGCGGGAACTCCATCCTCACTTCCGAGTAGATGGACCTCACTGGTCACGAATTCTAACTAGAAATCCAGGAAACTTCATCCTGTAGTAAGTCGCTAGCGAGAATCAGATTAATTTCCAAGAGTTGATTTGTAAGGATTAGATTTGTTTTTATTTTGAGTTAGATCACGTATTGATATCAGTTAGAGAAGCATTGAAAACCAGCCACAGGGAGTACTAGACAGCTGTTTAGTCTTAGTTTTGGAGTCATCGATAGTATACACCCACTGGGGCTCGAACCCAAGACCTTCAGGTTACAAGGTATGCTCGTAGACCATTATGCCTCTACTACCTGATCCAGTGGCTAGCTTATAAATTCCAACTTCTACCAATTCGTGATGCATTTAGCGCGACTGGCACCAACCAGTGTCATCGGCGAGAATTCCATCCTCACTCCCCACTGGATGCACCTCAGCGGTCACGACTTCTCACTAGAACTCCAGGAGGCCCCGGGTTTGATAATCTGCAGTGGATGCGTATTGCCGATGAGTCCCCAACTAGGGCAAAACAGCTGTCCAGTACTCCCTGTGGCTGGTTTTCAATGCTTCAATGCAACTGATATCAATCCGTGGGTAAACTCGAAAAACAAATCTCATCCTTACAAACCAAACACTTGACAATTATGAACATCGACATATAATGATAATAGCATTAAAATACAAGGAAATTTCCTAAACAACACGTAAATAAATGAATAAATTTTAACATCTTTAACTCATATAGAACTAAACAACAAGAATAAACATCTCTGATCTAAACTCTTAAGATAGTTTCGAACACTCCTCATCAGGACTAATACTCAACTATGATTTGTACATATCCTAAGAAAACTAACAGTACGTCAGATAAATTAGTAATAACAGTGGTTGTTGTTGCTGTTGTTTGGTTATCTTCATTACCTCCAACTCCTCCATGTTCTCCTGGAGTCCTGTCTTCACTGCCTGCTCCTTCAGGCAGTTTGTTGCTTTTCGCCTGCAAGTCTTCGAGTTTGTGTAAGTGACACTAAACATACGGTGTGGCATCAAGCTGTAACCAAAAATAATAAATAGATGTGATATCCGACTGGCTATCGACCAAATAATGTGTGTACTGCTCAGCGGCAATTCGCTCCGCCCTCCTTTATGACTGTGAGACCTGGCCATTGAGAGTGGAAGACATGAAAAGATTAGCTATCTTTGATCATAGGTGTCTGCTTTCTATCTCCCGTGTGAAGTGGCATAATAAGGTGAGCAATATTGAGGTTAGGCGTCGAGTTCTAGGTAAGGAAGGGAAATCAATCGACATGGCTGTGAAGTTACGCCGATTGAGATGGTTAGGACATGTGTTACGTATGCCTAGTCATCGCCTTCCTCGATGACGGGCAATGTTAGGTGACATACGGTCAGGCTGGAAAAGAGCTAGCGGCGGTCAAACCAAAACATGGCACCAGTCAATGAAATCTACAACAGTTAGTTTAAACCAGCCACGTAGGAAGATGTAGACTTCCTGGTTGGGGTACTCGGGACGGTAAAAACCAATGGTTGGAAACAATTGGTGACATGGCTCAAAATCGTTCTCAATGGCGCAGACGCATCCACTCCTTGTGACTTATAATACCCAATAAAACTATATTGTTCTTCGTTATTACTATCCTTTTTTCTCACACCTCTGTTTACTGTCTTTATTATGCATTTCTCCTACTTTTTTCTCTTGCTTTGTGTGCTACATGGAGTGCGGTGACTTGAACTGCCGCACCTATGTGCAAAGTTCTAGGTCGAAAACAAAAAAGAGTAATGAGTTTTATTACCTTAGTTGTGAACCTTCTTGAAGTGTATTTCATATTCTTGATTTCAAACACTTCCATCTGTTGTAGTGTTCTTTCTTTATTGAAGTATGATAACTTGTGCTGATGATACACAGACATTGTTTGTGAAATACCATGTTTAGATTTGTCAGTCAGTCAGTTGGGGGGGGGGGGCGTGGACGGGGAAACAAAGAGTACACCTAAATTCATCATACATGTCTCCTTTATAGTAGTAATTGTAGTTTACTAATAATAGCTCTCCACCATAATAATAATAATGATAATATCACCAGGACTCCAGGTGAACATAGACAAGATGGAGGTTATGAAAATAACCAACCAACAACAACAAGAACAGCAGCAACATCCAGCGCCAATCACCATCAACGGGAGGGATTTGATGAAAGAGGTTACTTCATTCACTTATCTAGTGAGCATTGTCTCAGCTACAGGAGGAATGGACGGACGAGGATGTCAAATCGAGAATCGGGAAGGCGAGAAACACATTCATCAGCCTGAAACCAATCTGGAAATCTTCGTCACTCAGCATCAACAACAAAATTCGCATTTTCAATACAAACGTCAAGTCAGTCACTTCTT